GATTGGTAGATCGAGGTGTCGTCCCTCTACCGTTTATACCAGCTGGCTGTCGATTGGTAGATCGAGGTGTCGTCCCTCTACCGTTTATACCAGCTGGCTGTCGATTGGTAGATCGAGGTGTCGTCCCTCTACCGTTTATACCAGCTGGTTGTCGATTGGTAGAAAGAAAAAGTTAGTCACTACTACCTATTAGAAACTTTTAAATATTTGTCCAATGCTAAGATGCAGTTAGTCACTAGTACCTATTAGAAACTTTTAAATACTTGTCCAATGCTAAGATGCTACTGGACAATAGTCTTCAATCAGATATTAATTTAAAAAAATTACATGTTTGATTTCCAAAGCCCGATGAATAGAGTGTAGGTCAAAAAAAACTAAACCTAATGATCTGAAAAAAATACTAGATCTAATAGGTTGGTGGCAGAAAGTAACTCTACTAAGCCTAATGATCTGAACAAAAAAAAAAGACAAGAATTTTTCTAGATCTAATGGACTGGTGGCAGAAAACAATTCTGCTTAACCTAAAAAGTCGAATGAAAACGAACAACATTTTAAAATTTAACGGGTTGAAGAAAGACAAACATTTTGCTTATCAAATGGAAAAGTATAAAAACAACCCTAATCTTGGTTATTGAACAACAACACTCAAAATGCTCTAACCAACGACAGTCACGGATGTGCTAATAAACACTTTAAAAAGTCCGTGATTTAAGGTGAAATCATTACTTTATGAGAGGCAATTCATTTGTAAAGGCAATTTTAAATCAATCCAAAATCTTTATCGCTAGGCGTACTTCAGATATTCATGGCACGATCACGTGCTCGCATATTCGGGAAATTTAAAGGTAACTTACCTAATGAAAAATACAAATTGTTAAAACTTAAGAATTGTAATTTTATTAAAATATTCAAATAACGGCACGTATTTATAACGTCTGAAACCTTCAAGCTAAGATCTTAAACATACATAGAATATGAAACCTTGCCCATGCGCAGTAATCAATCAACTAGAATCGACTTTCCCTTTAAAGTCATATTTTTCAAATTTTCGAAAATCCGACTTCATAAGTATTCCAGATGAGACGAGGATTTACATTCAGCCGTTAATCACTCGTCATGTTGCGATAATTAAAGGAATGTGGAGAAAAAAACAAATGATTGGAGCTCAAAGGCCACACAGAAATTTCTGGAATCTCTACAAGTGAGTCTCGCCACTAAACCAAGATATGTGAATGTCTTACTACTGGCATCATTAGCTCTTAAGTCTCAGACTGATTATTGTTATTAGTAGATACGACTTTCTTTCATTCTCGTGCTTATGACAAAGGATTGGAGAATTGAGATGGGAATTGTACTTCCAAAGTAAATACCAGACTTTTGTCTTTACAAAAAATGAGTGTTTTTGGTAGTTGATAAGCGCAAAATAATAGAATAGGTTATTTATGCTCTCTCTCTACCCTTTTTATCGAAACTAGATTTTTTTTATTTCTTTCTAAACCACGACCGAATAAATATTTTACAATATCAAATTATTTAAAACTGGATAACGCTAACACAGAATCATCAATCACTTTTAGTCAAGTAACGTTGAAAAGGGACGTAAGATCCGAGATTAGAGCCGTAATATGCCACTAAACACGCCTCTCAGTTAAGATTGCCTCACAGTCAGTAGCTGCTGAGTTATAAACGGCTTTTTGGAATATTGAGGTGATCGATCGTCTCACCCCCCACTTCCCCTGGTGGGACAGCGGTAAGTCTTCGGATTCACAACGCTAAAATCAGGGGTTCGATTCCACTCGGTAGACACAGCAGATAGCCCGATAAGAAAATATACACACCCACTAAAGCTACGCCCTACTCACTGGGTCAGCGGTAAGTATATAGACTTATAATGCTAAAGCCCGGGGTTTGATTCCCCGTGGTGAACAGAGCACAGATAGATTCACTTTGAAAAGCAACAACAAAAACACATTGTTTTTTTTTTTGGAAGAATGAAGATATATTTTGGGAAAGGCCATCTTCCTATCTTCATCATCAGTAGGGTTTAGTTTTACTACTTCATCCTCATGATTGGTAACTCTTTACACACACCGTTCTTCAAAAATTAGAGATGGCTAACACAGGTATAGTTTAATACGAAATCCAACAAAGAAATCTTAAAACTATCAACTCCTATAAACCGTAGCATACCTTATAATACAGCACGTTAACTGGGCTGTTGATCTATTTTCTTCGGAGTAATAATACTGTCAACAAATGCTTGCTTTACAGTGACTTACTTCGTGCTTCATTAACAGACAACCGATTATTGATTAGACACAAAATAATTAGTGTTGTTCCGGACAATGAAACAGCACGTGCGAGTGGTTTACGTCAATATTAGTTCCATGTTAATGTGCATATTCAGAACAGTATGGTATTAATTTGCGTATTTAGTAATTTTGCGATTTAAGAGATTCTAGACTTGTACTGAGAAAATCGAATAAATACTGTAATAATGTTAGCTGTAGTTCTAGTTGAAGATTCTAGACTAAAGACGTTAAGATACACTAACAAACTTCTTTTCCATCACAACTGAGACAGAACTTGTGTCGTCATTTCCTGGACTGTTATAATAATGTTAGCTGTAGTTCTAGTTGAAGATTCTAGACTAAAGACGTTAAGATACACTAACAAACTTCTTTTCCATGATGGCCACAACTGAGACAGAACTTGTGTCGTCATTTCCTGGACTGTTATAATAATGTTAGCTGTAGTTCTAGTTGAAGATTCTAGACTAAAGACGTTAAGATACACTAACAAACTTCTTTTCCATCACAACTGAGGAACTGAGACAAAACTTGTGTCGTCATTTCTTGGACTGTTACCACAGTTCTCAGTATCTTGTTTATCACAGGCTTGTCAGTTAGTAAAACATAATATTTCAGTATTTCACCGTTTTGTGTAATATGACGAGAAAGTCATTCAAAATCTAAATTTAATCCAAACATCTCTGTCACTTATTTTAAGACCAGAAGAAGGAGAATGAAACTGGGTGTTATTTAGTTGAATTTCGTAAAATTAAAATGATAATACAAAACTATTTATGTTAGCGCCTTTATAATCTCTGTATTTAACCCTTCTTCTGCTGCTGCGTGTTGATTATACTCTGTTCTTCCCACTAGCTTCGGACGTACGGATGGAGCTGAGATGACCATAATGAACGTGAGCGAAGGTAAGCCTCTTATAGCCGGTTGTCTGGACGTCCTCTCTACAGAGAAGCTTCAAGATGCGCCAGTTATCGTTTCTTTCATTGTGCTCTGTGTTATTAACGTGATTGTAGTCGCTGGAAATGTGCTCGTTATTCTGTCTGTGTTCACGTCAGCAAAGCTACGAACCGTGACTAACTTCTTCATCGTCTCATTAGCCGTGTCGGACTTACTCGTCGGCCTTGCGGTACTGCCGTACTCGATGACCTTAGAAGTGTTGGACGTGTGGGTTTTTGGGAGCACGTGGTGCCACATCTGGCTGGCTGTCGACGTGTGGCTCTGCACTTCGTCGATTCTCAATCTGTGTGCTATCAGTGTTGACCGCTACCTCGCCATAACCCGACCTGTCCACTACCGAAGCATCATGTCGTCTCGACGGGCCAAACTGGTGATCGCGGCCGTATGGGTCTTCGCTTTTATCATCTGTTTTCCTCCACTGGTGGGCTGGAACGATAGTCGTCCTTCGAGTGAGAACCTGAATTCCTCGCTGTCACAGAACCACGAAGAAGGCACTTCCTTTCTAGCAGAAAACAACGTATCGCTAGTCAATCAGTCACGAAGATTCGACAGTCACATAGTGCTTTCAACGCTGGTTGAAAGTCAGCTACTTATCTGGGACGAGAACTGGGCTAACCGGACGTATCTGTCAACTTCTGAAAATACCACTGTCAGTTGTTCTTTGTCCGGTTGTTCTCTGAACAGCAACAAAGGCTACGTTATCTATTCTGCTATTGGTTCTTTCTACATTCCCATGTTAGTAATGTTGTTCTTCTATTGGAAGATCTACGCAGAAGCCAGCAAGACCGGAAGGGCTTTACGGAGAGGATTCAAGACCACTAAGTTAGGTAAGTGCAAGAATGGACAAGGGCAGGAGGAGTCGTTGACCTTACGAATGCACCGAGGTAACGCCGTATCCAACATACACGCACAAGAACGTTCTTCACACAGCCAAGGTGTTCGGACAAAACGTAGGTCACCGTTGGCTAAACCCGTTGGGGAAAATGCTCGAACCAGTTCTGCCACAAGTGAAAGGATATTGTCCACATCTTTCGGTTCTGGTAAGGAAGAGGAAAACAGTTCTAATACAACACCAGGTTTCCATGACAGCCATACCGGGGAAGACAGATTGTTTTTTACGCGCATGAGCAGACGAAATGCTCGTTGGCATGCTAGACGTTTTCACGCCGAAGCTAAGGCTGCCAAGACTGTGGGCATCATTGTTGGGGGCTTCGTCTGCTGTTGGTTACCGTTCTTCACCATCTACCTAATAGGGGCTTTCTGTGAGAGATGTATTTCCTCGCTGTTGTTTTCAATATTCTTTTGGCTGGGCTACTGTAATTCAGCCATAAACCCCTTTATTTACGGTCTTTTTAGCCAAGATTTTAGATTTGCGTTCAAACGGATCTTGTGCCGTTGTATGATGAAACCGGAAGGGATTTCCTTGCTCATCAGACAAATCCACATCCCTCTGGTGGTGGACGATCCACGCGAGATAACCGATTCTGGTTGAACGAGGAAAGACCGTTTAAACTGGACATTGAATATTGTGCTCACAGGTTCAACCATAAATCCACACAATCCGAGTAACGTTGTTCCGTGGCTCGTGCTGGTATTCGAACGTAAATAAAACTGTGATTTGAGTAACAGTTGGAACGTAACGTTCAATATAGTCCTCAAATCTAAAGCACCTAGCGTCATTGTAACATATAGTTAGTGTTAACAGTTGAATAGAAACTTGTATCTGGTATTTGCGTGTGTTGTTAGACACATCAACAAGACATATATATATATGTGTGTATACATTGTGGCTTAGAGTTTATTCTTTATTATTCGTGCCAAATAAGCCTAAAGGATTGTCTTGTGTATTTCAGTGGTGTGTAAAACATTTACACAAATTCACAAACAGTCCTCCAAAGGTGGTAACCTAACAATACCTGTCGGAGAAAAAAAAGGTCAAACTACAGCAGTAAAACTGAGAAACACCATGGTCCTAAAAATAGCTTTTTGTCAGTTAAAATTTATGAAGTTTAAACAAGAGTTTCTGTCAGTCAGCTTTTAATCTACCAGAGGGCGTCAAACCTTCAGTTGATAAATGTGTGTATACTATTATTTACGTGTGTGATTTGTCGTAAAGCGTGTTGTATGTTTTTTAGATATCTCTCTTAGCTACAGTGTCATGTAACACAGTGTAAGTGATACTGAATGAGCGCGAGAAGCGTTTATCTTGTATCTCAGCCTGTTGCTATTTGAGTTTATTGTTGTGTATTGAAATAATGCTTTCTAATCATCACAGATCTGATTGATCTTTAGTTTAACTCTACGTAGGTAGCTCGCTCTGATCGGAAGATGATATTAATTTGTCGGTATGTAGATTGGCTGACCGAATATTTACTGTGCCCTTAACAACAGTCAGTTGCTACTGTTAGTGTATACAACAATGTCAGCTGACGGTTGCTGTTAACACAAAAATACACCAACAAAGTAACAGTAACAACTGACTGTTGTTAGTGAGACAGTAATAACATTGTATTGCTCAGTATTTTATGTTGTGTGTTAACAGAAACCGTCAGCTGACGTTCTTGTAATACAATGTTATTACTGTCTCACTAACAACAGTCAGTTGTTACTGTTACTTTGTTGGTCTATTTGCTCAATATTTTATGTTGTGTGTTAACAGAAACCGTCAACTGACATTGTTGTAATACAAACTTAATTATTAAATATTTACTTGACGTCTCACTAGCAGGAATTAAGTAATATCTATTTGTTTATGTACATTTTTATACTATAGAAATTATTTCCTGTCATTTTACGTACGGGTGCAAGTGGTATACAATTAGTGTCTCTTAACTATATTATTAGATTTGGTTAATTTGGTACACAGAGATGATATTAACAAAATTTACCTTTCATATAACATTAGTTACTGATCATTACAGTTTTAGTGGATATCTGATGCTTTGTAAATCGGACGCTGCATTAGCTACATATAACACATATTATACTGCCCTGCCTGTTTCTTTATTATTGTCGGTTTATCTACAGTATAACACATATTATACTGTCCTGTCTGTTTCTCTATTATTGTCGGTTTATCAACAGTCTAATACATATTATACTGTCCTGTCTGTTTCTTTATCATTGTCAGATTATCAACAGTATAACACATATTATACTGTCCTGTCTGTTTCTCTATTATTGTCAACTTATCAACAGTCTAATACATATTATACTGTCCTGTCTGTTTCTCTATTACTGTCAACTTATCAACAGTCTAATACATATTATAATGTCCTGTCTGTTTCTTTATTATTGTCAACTTGTCAACAGTCTAATACATATTATACTGTCCTCTCTGTTTCTTTATTATTGTCAGCTTATCTACATATAACACATATTATACTGTCCTGTCTGCTTCTTTATTATTGTCAGCTTAGCTACAGTATAACACATATTATACTGTCCTGTCTGTTTCTTTATTATTGTCGGTTTATCAACAGTCTAATACATATTATACTGTCCTGTCTGTTTATATTTTTCAGCTGTTGTTAGAACAGAAAATGTGTTAAAAGTTTATTGATGCTAAAATTTTTCTTTATGTGTTTCTTTCACCTTTAATTGAGGAATACTTTATTTACAATCCTAGGTCTTCTACAAGAAACGAACAAATCTACCAGAGTGTCGCGACCCCAGTTTAATTACCACTGAGCCTTCGACCTGAACACTCGTGTCATTATTCGGTCAAAGATCAAATGCAAAATCTAATCATAATGAAAGTAATTTTATTCAGAAGTCAAGCCATAATTTTATTGTTTTAATATTTTAAACTGTTCAATCGATTTTTTTCAATCATTTAGAATTTGATTTACAAAGTTTCGCTTGTATTACGGCATTACTGGCGACTGAAAGGCTTACTCCTGATAAAGCGAAGTACATTTTAACATAAATTATAGTTAATGGTATCGGAGCGCGTTTTAGGGATGGTTTTTTTATGAAAAGAAGCACGCGGCTGTGTTATAAATCTCTTTTTTTTCTCTCTCTCTCTTGGATCTAAGCTGTTCTAAGAAAGACACTTCGCAGGTGCTTCGTGGTTTCTATAATTTTTTATACTTTACGTTTTGAGATTAAAGTTTAAACTTTCATACCGAAAAGAAAACAACACAAAGGACTGTACTTAATAAAAATATATTTACAAAGTAACATAAAAAAGACTAGGTTTGTTACTAACTCAAGACTATTAACACAAAATCCATAATTAAATAAAACTGTACTGGCCTACAACACCAAACTTAATAACACATTGTTGAATAAAGAGACCCTTTCATCATACGTTTCTCTCTTCGGCCACCAGCTGGCTCCGCGGTCGGTCTGAGGGCTTATATAGCCGGAAATCTGTGGACACGACACAGCTTCGTGATTAATAATAAATAAATTCTTAAAACTTTATAAGTTAAGTATAAAACATTATACAACCATGTAAAACATTACTACAATAAATAATCGATTATTACAACCATATAAAACATTACTACAAGAAGTAATCGACTATTACAACTATATAAAACATTACTATAATAAATAATCGATTATTACAACCATATAAAACATTACTACAGTAAATAATCTATTATTACAACCATATACAACATTATTACAACCATGTAAAACATTACTACAGTAAATAATCTATTATTACAACCATGTAAAACACTACTACAATAAATAATCTATCATTACAACCATATAAAACATTA